CGGGTACAGCGGATGCAGTATACCACATTGGCAGATGTGCAGGTGAACATCTGCTTGATGTGGAATGCAGCTCACTAGTGCCAAGACCTTGAGGGCAAGTAGGGACAGGCAGTCCCTAATGTAGGAACGATGTTGCTAAACTCGAAAGGGTTCAGAAAAGGTTTACGAAGATGTTGTCAGTTTCGGAGGGTTTGAGCTACAGGGAGAGGCTGAATAGGCTGTGGCTTTTTTTTTCCCCTGGAGCGTCAGAGACTGAGGCGTGACCTTATACAAGTTTATAAAATCACGAGGGGCATAGATAAGGTCAACAGCCAAGGTCTTTTTCCCAGAGTAGGGAAGACCAAAACTAGAGGGGAAAGATTTAAAAGGGCCTAAGGGGCAACTTTTTCATGCAGATGGTGGTGCGCGTATGGAATGAGCTGCCAGAGGAGGTGACGGCTGGTAGAACACTTAAAAGGCATCTGGATGGGTATATGAATAAGAAGGGTTTAGAGGGATATGGGCCAAATGTTGGTAAATTTGACTGGATCAGACTAAGATAGGTGGCTGACTCGGACAGAAGAATCTGTTTCCACGCTGTGCAACTCTGGCTGTAAACACCGGCCAACCAGGCAGGGAAGCTTTTCTGATGAAGGGTCTAGGCCCGAAACGTCAGCCTCTCGGCTCCTATGATGCTACTTGGCCTGCTGTGTTCATCCAGCCCTGCACCTTGTTGTCAGGGAAGTATGTGGGCCGCCCAGAAACAACAGGCGGACTGTGGCTGCGCCAAGGATCAAGATCGCTTCTGGTCACGTGCTCCGCCCATGAGCCAATGAAGTGTTGAGCTGCGCGATGCGTCACGGTGACGTGTGAAGGACGCCTTAAGGAGGTCGGCGTCTCGAGCTGCCACTGCCGCCGCCGCCATCTTATAGAGAGTCAGCTCGTAACGGCCATGTACCCGAGCTCGCTGCTCGCCCTATCCGGGGGAAACCCCTTCAGTGCTCCCCGCTTCCAACTCCTCACAGAGCCCGCCTTCCCACATCCACACGCCGCTAGCAAGGCCTCGCTGCCCAGTGAACGCGTCGCCCCTCGCCGGCGCTTGGCCGCCGCTGCCGTCAAAGGTAATGCCTGGCGGTTGGGGGCAGAGCCCCGGGGAGGTGGGGTCAGACTGAGACCCCAGGCTTAAGGGAGAGGCTGGGGTTTTGGGGGGGGATAAGGCAGAGGCTGGGGATTTGGGGGGGAGAAGAGAGAGGGGCAGAGTAAGGGGCCCGGTGCTGTGGTTGCTCCCTCTGGGACCTGAGGCCTAGTGTGCCCTTGGCTGGGTGTCCCGCTGACCTCGGCGGGTCAGTGCCCACTACCCTTCCCCTGCCCACCGGGGCCTGGTTCCGCTCTCACCTCTTTCTTTCTCTGTCTGTCTCTCTCTCTCTGTCCTTTTCCCCTCCTACACAGAGCAGGAGCAGTATAGCTGCGAGTACGGCTCGGCTCGCTTCTACGCCCTGTGCGGCCTGGGCGGTATCTTGAGCTGCGGGACGACCCACACTGCCGTGGTGCCCTTGGACCTGGTGAAGTGTCGGATTCAGGTTGGAGCATGATTCCCCCACCTCCTCGGGGGCTGGGGACACAGCCCAGCTCCGAGAGAGAAGGCGAGGGGTTGTTAAGGGGAGCTGGTGGTCCTGGGAACCCACCTCGCCCTTTCTCGGTGCTGCATGTATTAACCGCATGGTGTGTCTTTGTGTCTCATTGACTGCAGAGGAGTACAGCTGCGAGTATGGCTCCGCCAAGTTTTATGCTTTATGTGGATTTGGAGGTGTCTTGAGCTGTGGGCTAACACACACTGCTGTGGTGCCCTTGGATCTGGTGAAGTGTCGCATTCAGGTGTGTATCCGCCTTTTTAACACGAGCTGTACCTGAGTTTTACTGCCAGTTCACAATCAGTTCAAACCGAGTAGCCTTTCTGTCCGGTGAGTAGTGTGAAAGGCTGTTGCTGGATTAAACCTACCCCAAAAAAAATTGTGCGGTGGTGGTAATATTTTTAGTTAAATAGGATTAATTGTGGGAATGACGGTATGTCAATTTGCGGGGAATTGTAGTAAAGTTGTCGCCATCACTCTTTGGGTACTCAAAGTGCAGCATTTTATCAAAAATTGAAAGGAAATTGAAATGGAATCTTCAGTGTCATAGTAGGCTGTATATGAGAGTCTGGTTACATCAGTAGCTAATTCATTTCTGAAGGATGGTTCTATGCCCTTCACTTCCATAGAAGGAGAACTAGGCTACTCTATATTGCTCCTTTCACATCTGAGTATACAGGTGAGAAGCAAATGAGAAAAATGTCCTTGATTTAAAGAGGCAACTGTTTTGCTAGAGGGAGCCCTACTGCACTTGTGATAGGCTTTTCAGTCCATCTGCAAAAATTTCTTTTAACATCTTCATCCCAACTGGCTGATTATAGCAGACAGCCTCCATTCTGGGTTCACATCTTGCAGCAGAGCTTGAACATGTTTAGATTATGCCCTGAGTAAATATCATTACTGGGCCAAGCTGATACTAACAGCACAGAAGTCTGACCTGCCTTGGTTTGATGGTTATGATGCATGACCACTCTTAATTTGCATATTAAACTTGCTAGTTTTATAGGATCGTGTTAACTTGTGATATCTTGTGTAAAATTAGTTTAACTGCAAATGTGCTCAAAAATGAGTTGTTCCAAGTTCATGTGCCTGCTACCCAGTTCTGTTTGCCTTGTGCAACTTTTATCAGCTACAGTGTTGAAAAGTGAGAAGTAATGCATTTGATCCATACAGAGCTGACATTTGATTAGTAAACAAGTGTGCTTGCCAGTTAACTTTGCTTTGCTGGATTGGGTTTGTTGTGATGTACAGGGAATCTGGATCCCCTTCAGCACGAGAGTTTTGTTGCCATTTAAATGTTGATTCTCCATTCTTGGGTGAAAATCTGGTAACTTGGTCTCTATGTAAAATGATCTTTTTTGCATTCTTGTGATTAGGTGGATCCTGGAAAATACCAGAGCATCTTCAAAGGATTTTCTGTCACTCTGAAAGAAGATGGTGTTCGTGGTCTGGGAAAAGGATGGGCTCCAACATTCATTGGCTATTCAATGCAAGGCCTATGTAAATTTGGTTTCTATGAAGTTTTCAAGAACATATATGGTGACATACTGGGTGAAGTAAGTATTTTCCTAGTGTTCTGTTTCGCTGCGAGTGTGGCTTTTTGCTCTGAGATTTTTTTTCCCCAAGTGAATTGTAGTTTGTGCTCCATGGGTGAAAATGTGTGTTCTGTTCATAAGGTTCAGCATTCAGATAAAAATATTTTGTGGAGGTGGTGCTTTTAGGCCTCTTTAATGGTAGAGAGATTCATTTGTTCTTTTGCATTGGTGCTGTCAGTAATCACAGTAAGTAATGCTGAATAGCAAAGGAACAATCCCATGGAGAGTTTGTGAGCACAGATGAACTCTTGGTGGGATAGGTGGGGATCTTTGAGACTGAAGATGTTGTCAAAGGGCTGTGAATTTAGGCAGTAGAGTTGAGTTGAACTATCATGAAGGAGATTTGGGATTCTAGCAGTTCATGTGAATTTGTTGCTGTTTGAATTCCTCCTCTGAAGTTAGATCTAAACTTCCATGCTTTGCCTTCTGTAATCTACTGTTGAGTTTACTGGTTACATAGAGCTTCAGTCGGATTCCTATTCATGATCAATGTCCCCTCCTTTTGATTGACATAGGAGCAGTTTAGTTTGTAATATGTTATGGTTCTAGCCCACCCCTCGCAATCTTTAACCAAGTGATATTGAAGGTGTTGTTTTTGAATTTATGATCCTTGTATTGGGCTTATTATGGGACTGTGCATCAAATTTTAACTGCACATTCCAATACCCAAGGTATTTTGATTTGAAGTTTGTTAGTTGGGTGTAGAACATGATATATCCAAATAATGCAGTTTAATCAGGGTAAACTGGCCAGTTAAGGTGATCTTTTGAAGGTCAGATTCCCAGAACTTGACCAAGATTTCTGCATTGATCCAGGTCAGGTTTTCATGCAAAATCAGTCTGGAGCTGCAGTAAGAGGTGGAGTTATTCCAACTTGTCAAATGCTGCCCCCATCTGTAGGGTGAAGGGAGTGTGTTGAAAGTTCTGGTGATCTGTACAGAATTGTTACAATGAGGATGAAGACATTATCAGATTTCAGGTCAACAGACTTTTAGATTTGTAGTCAGGAGTAGTACAGTGACTATCGAATGGAGAAAGGGAGGTTAGTTACAGTACTCAACATATTGCACCATTTGAGAATGAAAGGAATTTCCTTTTGACTGCTATGAACCAATGATTGTATATTCAATCGGACAGATATAATCTTACTGTTTCACTCTAGGAAAATGCTTATCTCTGGCGTACATCTTTATATCTTGCTGCATCTGCCAGTGCTGAGTTCTTTGCTGATATTGCACTTGCTCCAATGGAGGCTTGTAAGGTCCGTATTCAGACCCAGCCTGGTTACGCCAACACTCTGAGAGAAGTTCTTCCTAAAATGTATGCTGAAGAAGGCCTGTGGGCGTAAGTATGGATTGCATTTATTAAATGAAAGTAGAACAACACATTTCCTTAGATCCATCTTTGGGGCGTATCTGTTTTGCTCTACTGGCAGAACTCACTGCATGCAGTGAGTTTTTCAGTTTAGTTATCAGGTAGTCCACAACTTGTATGGTTGTACAGTCAAAGGTGCTTGAGTCATTGGTGTGTGAGAATAATATACCTGCACACTAGCCACATCTGTTCCAATGTGAACAGCCTGTGTTCGGCAAGCTGTTTTCTGCCATTGGAACTTGGCTGGTTTGCGGACATCAAAACAAATTGATTTGTGTTTACAAGTAATTTGTCTTGTGATCAATGTCTACCAATATAGGAGTCAGAATTTTCATCATTACAGTAGATGTTGTCACAAAATTGAAATGAGTTTAGTGTATGCAGGAATATTGGTGTTCCAACAGTCAATTACTAGATGCCTCTTCACGAGAGGCATCATGTTTCCAATGACGGCCTTCAGAATTCAGCTGCTTTTGCCTTACCTTTGCCTTGAATATTGAAGGACTGTGCTTCCAATCTCTCAAAATACATGACCCTCTGAAAGAAAAATTTCCCTCCCTTGTCTTAAATGGGTAATCTTTTTTCCTTCTTGAGCAGTGACCCCTTAGTTCTATCTTCAAAGTCTAGATCTCTCATCTGACAAACTGTGGAGATGGAGACATAACTGATGTTTTAAATGGATATGTTGTATCTCTATGTACTGTAGACAAGGATGACATCAATAAAGAACTCGGGTGCTGTGATATACTTGCCTAAAAAGCATTGAGCAAGGAGGTATTAGTGGTTTTACAATGCTAGAAAGTGGATAAATCAGGTGATGTATCCCAGGCTGCTGTGGGAAGCTATGAAAAGATTTGTAGGATCTCTGACATTAATTGTCAAATTTTCTATCCCCTTGGGAGGGGTGTGGGAGGACAGCTAATGTGGTGCCATTCATCAAGAATGTTGAGGAATAAATCAGGAAATCACTGACCAATGAGTCTAACATTTGAGGTAGGAAAACCATTGGAAGAAGTTCTGAGGGACAGAATTAATCCCTACTTGGAAAGGCAAGGAATAATCAAAGATAGTCAGCATGTCTTTGTCGTGTTGAACAGATTTGAATATTTCCAGGAGTTAACTTTTGTGAAGTTAGTGTGTTTACATGGACTTAGTGAGGCTTTTGACAAGGTCACATGGCAGACTGGTTAAGAACCTAATAGCCCATGGGATTCAGGACATTTTGGCAGATTCCTTCCAAAAATTGGTTTAGTGGAAGGAAGCATAGGGTGATGGTTGAAGGTTGAAGGGTGTTTTTTTTTGTGATTGGAAGCCTGAGTCCTTTGGCTTACTTCAGGGTTCAGTACTGGCTGCTTTTACTGTTGTGTATATTAATAGTCTAGATGTGAATGAGAAGGTATGACTAGTAAAGTCTATGGTGACATCAGATCTGGAGGTGTAGTAAATGTCGAGGGGGGCAACCTTAGGCTACAGGATGATAAAGATAGGCTGGTCAGATGGGCTCTGGTGGCAAAAGGAATTTAATCCTGAAAAGTGAGAGGTGATGCATTTTAGGAGGGCTAAAAAGTCAAGTGTACATGTGAAATGTTAGGACCCTCAAATGCAGAGGATCAGAAGAACCTTGGTGTCAGTGGGATCCTTGAAAGCAGCCGGACAGCTTTTTATTTAAAAAGCATGTTTTTCAATGTTTTTTGACTAATAAAGGCAAGCATCCAACAAGAGCAAGGAGTGCCTTGTGGTGGAGCTAGACCTATCACTAGTTTAGCCACATCTGGGTGTTGTGCAGTTCTGGCCATCGCAGGAGAGGAAGGATGTGATTTCACAGAAGAGATCACAAATGTTTCTAGCATCAAGGATTTTGGATGTAGAGGTATGGTTAGGATTTAAATTGCAGTGTCTTAGTGAATTTTATAATAAAACTTTCTTTATATGTGCATTTGATAAGATTTCATTATGTGGTTGAAATCTACTGTTGTTGGAGAAAGGATACTGAATATGCAGGATAATTGGAAAACCTATAATTGTCAAATTCTAGCTAAACAGAACTTGATTAAATATAGATGTTAACCAAGATTCCATAAGTTGCACCAAAAAGATGAGTTTAGTGGAATTCATTTATTCCAGTTGCATTATTCTGTGCTGGATGGCATGAGAGCTTCTGAGTTTCAACAGTCTTTATCACTCTTTCAACAGATTTTACAAAGGTGTTTCCCCTCTGTGGATGAGACAGATTCCCTACACAATGATGAAATTTGCTTGCTTTGAGCGCACAGTTGAAGCACTATATAAATATGTGGTGCCTAAACCTCGTGACAGTTGTACCAAAGCTGAGCAGTTGGTGGTGACATTTATTGCTGGCTATATTGGTAAGAAAGCTTATTGTCTGGTATAAATATTCTGGCTATCCTGTTTTGTATGTCCTGTTGGTACATCAGCTAATAGAATGCAACATTGTTTGTAAATGCCTTCGGGCATTTAGAGTCTCCTCCACATTTGTCGTTGTAACAATAACAACAGTTCACCAGCACCACTTCATGTCGGAGGCTAGATAACAATTTTCACCCTTAGCATGGAAATGTGTGTTTTAACTCCATTCATCTGTTTTGATTCTGTATTCCTTATTAAAAAAAAAAAATTAATTTGCAGTTTTCAATTGAACTTCATCCTTGGCAGTGTTTTGCAGAGAGCGTATGGGAAGGCCATTCCTCTATGGTGTCGAATTAACTACTATCTGTTTCTTTCAGCTGGTGTTTTTTGTGCTATTGTGTCTCACCCTGCTGACTCCGTGGTGTCAGTTTTGAACAAGGAAAAGGGTAGCAGTGCATTCCAGGTTCTGAAAAGGCTTGGACCCATAGGTAAGCCATTGTTCTACATATCAGAGAGTGCAGCATTTCCAAGTTGAACGTGTGTAATCCATTGAATGTCTCTTGTTTTACAGGAGTGTGGAAAGGACTCGTTGCTCGTATTATCATGATTGGCACTCTGACGGCTCTACAGTGGTTTATCTATGACTCTGTTAAGGTCTACTTCAGACTTCCTCGTCCACCTCCCCCTGAGATGCCAGCATCACTGAAAAAGAAGCTTGGGTTGCAGTAAAAATGGGTGGACTTAATTTGTTGTCCTGGCTAAGCCAGATATGTCGCATCAGAAGACATGTAAAAGAGCTATTTAATACTGAAAATATCATGTCTGTAATGTCCTGTTGATGAAGCACGGCAGTGAGTGCAGAGTATACATCAACACCAATTCTGAATAAAGAACAGTGACCCACGTTTTTTAGGTGTGTAATTTATAATTGGTTTATTTAAACATGGTTGTGATTTAAAACAAATCATTTCATTCTGGAAATTCAGTATTGATAAGCAGCTAAACCCACCTGTTTTTTGCACCACACCTCTTCAATTAAGTACAAAATGTTTCAAGCCTGTAGATATTAGTGGTGCCTGAATTATTTGAATTTGTAAATTTCAATGCCACTATTATAGGTTTTGTTGGGACAGTTATTTAAAGTGTAAACACTCCTTAGATGCACCTCTTTGGGATGTATCTGTTCTGTTTTGCTGGTAGTTCTCTTCACCCTGGTGTTGGATTCTGCAATGTGCTGACAGCTTACATTCATCAACTTCAGAGGTTGCTCAGTCGAAGGTGCTTGAGTCATTGGTGTGTGGGAGTAATACCCCTGCATTGTAGCCCATCTGTTCTGATGTCAATGACCAGGCTGTTATGTACCATTAGAACTTTGCTGCTGTGTGAACATGTTCATCAAAATTGATCTTGTTTAAATGTTGCAATAAAATGAGAAGTTCGCAAGCTATTCTAGCTGCTTAATGACCCCATGACACTATTGCCGGTTGTGCAGAAGCCCCTTTCTGATACAGCAGTGTCTACATCAAGAAATGACTGAGATTTTGACAGTAAAATGGCTGTGACATTATGGGGAATTGCAATAATTTTACATTTGCCATTTCAAAGTGTTAATTGTTTAGTAATCTGTCTTCCACTAAAATGGAACCAAGACTCATTTTGTACATGTTATTTACTATAGGTTCCACTCTGGTCTTTGGTTATTTGGGTCAATAAGCATTAAAGAATATTTGCAACAGTCAGCTTTTTTTCTCTCATTTTACTCTTGAATGTGTTCACTTTCTTGCGGAGTAGTGGTGATGTTTCTGATAGTAGTTTTAGTCTTGATTGAGGATTGGTTAACAGTCAGTCTGGATTAAAGGGTTTTTTTCCAGGTTGGGAATCTGTTAACTGTTGGGAGTTGTGCAAAGTAAGATTTACTGTAGACTGACTTTGACAGTGGTCATGTAGCAAAATTTACTGACTGTGCATGTGATGGGGGGTTTAAGGAATCTGAGTAGATATAGATTGAGTGGGTGGCCAAAAGGTTGATATAACTTAAACTTTCCTACATTTAAATTTTTTGTGCTTTTACAACAGCTGTGTTGGTACTAATAGATCTCGCATCAAGAGCGCAGGGACCTAGGCAGTTGAAGTAGGTTTTTTTTTTGTTTGAAGGTTGTAATCTCAGGATTACTCCTAGTGCCATATGCAAATGAGATACAAAAATAGGGCAGATGAAGGTGTGGCTCAAGAGTTGGTGCTGGAGAGAGGATTTTAGATGCCTGAATCGCTAAAACTGCTTCTCGGGGAAAGTGGTCCCTGTCAAGCAGGACAGTTTAAGAGGTGTTTAAACTGGTTTGACAGGGTCACAGTCCGGTAGTTCAATAGCGACAAAGCGTAACTTTAGAGAAGGATCCGAGACAGTAGGTTCAGCCATGTGATAAGCAAATTAAGATGAGACTGGTAACAACATTCTAGAGGCATATCTTCAGGCAGGAGAGGGGAGAATGTAATAGTGGAAGTGTTACCATTTGAGTTAGGGAGTCCATTGCTGCAATAAAGAGGGATGATAACTTGGGACAGTTGCAGTGTTAGGTTTCCCCAACAGAAGGCAATTGAGGAACAGGTATGTAGTAACTTCACTAAGGCCTGTAAATATTATAGGATAAGTATATTAGGGGATTTCCACTACTCCGATATTAACTGGGATAATCAGTATAAAGAATTTAGAGTGGGACGATTCTGTGAAGTGTATACACGAAAGCTTAATATATCAACATATAGATGGCCCTACAAGGGTTGGTGAGCTGTTGGACCTAATTCTGAATGCTAAAGTCAAACAGTTCTTTGAGGTGATAGTGACAGAAGCATTTTAGTAATAGCTAGCGCAACACCCTAAGCTTGTTATGGGAAAAGAGAAAGGTATCCTAATCCAAAAACTTTGGGACTAAGACAGGATCTAGCTAAAATAGATTGGGAGCAGTTATTTGAGGTGTCAATCATTGTCAAGCCCACAAAGATACTGTGGGGGAGTACTGTTTAGGTAAAATGTGGGAGCAACAAGCCCAGAGAACCTGGATATCTACGAATTTACCAAACTGGAATAAAAGGGAGAGAGACATCATAGAATCCCTACAGGTCTGGGAAAAGGCCATTCAGCCCAAACCAACACTCTGAAGGCCATCATACACAGACCAGTTTCCCCCTAGCCGTACATTTCCCATGACTAACCCACCCAGCCTGAACACTATGTGTAAGTTAGCAATCCATCTAACTTGCACATCTTTGGACTGCAGGAGGAAACCAGAGCACTCAGCAAAAACAGGGAGAATGTGCAAACTCCAAGACAGTCACCCAAGGGTGGAATCAAAGTCAGATCCCTGGCACCATGAGGTAGCAGTGCTAACCACTGAGCCACTATGCCACACCAGACATGCTACAGGTACAAAGGGAGCAAATCAACAGAGATCCTACAGGAGTGTAGGAAATGCAGAGCAATTCAATAAAGCAGTTAGGAGAACAAAGAGGGCATTGCAGGCAAGATTAGGGAAAACACCAAGATTATCAACAAATATATCAAGAGGAAGAGAATAATCAGGGAAGGAGGTGGGCCTACTGGGGTCTAAGGGAGCAAAACAATGTGAAGCTGGAAGACATTGGTAGAGTGTTAAATGAATACATCACATCTGTCTCTACTTGGAAGGAGGAGGATGGAGATACAGAAGACCGATGAAATTCTTAAGCAGACTGATGTAAGGAGTGTGGGGGATTCATAGGATTAAAAAGTGGACAAATCGCCTGGTACAGATGGGTTGTATCCCAGATTGTTGTGGGAGATGAGGGGAGAAATGACGTGGACCTTGACCCAAATTTCCAAGGCTCACATCAGTGGTAAGGAAGCTCAATAGCAGAAAAAAGCAGATGTAGTGGACAGCAAAGGTCACTTCAGAGTAGAATGAACAAATAAAAAAGTACTGCACAGGAATACGCCGTTCGGCCTCCAAGCCTGTGCCGACCATCATGCCCCAATTAATCTAAAAACAAACCTGCGATTTTTTAATCCGTATCCCTCTATTCCTTCCCTGTTCATGTACCCATCTAAGTGCCTCTTAAATGTATTCAATGTGCCCACTTCCACCACCTCTTCTGGTAGTGCATTCCAGGCTGCTACCACTCTTTGTGTGAAAAACTTCCCTCACACATCTCCCTTAAACTTTCACCCTCTGACCTTAAACCTGTGCCTCCCTGTAATTGAAACTTCAACCCTGGGAAAAAGCATCTTACTATCCACCCTATCTATGCCTCTCATAGTTTTTGTCGACCTCTATCAGGTCTCCTCTCAGCCGTTGTCTTTCCAGTGAAAACAATCGTAGTCTTTTTAACCTTTCCTCGTAGTCAATGCTCTCGAGACCTGGCAACATCCTGGTGAACCTTCTCTGTACTCTCTTCAAAGCTTCCACGTCCTTCTGATAATGTGGTGACCAAAATTGCACACAATACTCCAAACGCGGCCTAACAAGGGTTTTACATGGAGATAGTAGGAACTGCCGATGCTGGAATCTGAGGTAACAAGGTGTGGAGCTGGATGAATACAGCAGGTCAGGCAGCATCAGAGGAGCAGGAAAGCTGACGTTTCGGGTCTGACCCTTCTTCAGAAATGGGGGAGGGGAAGGGGGCTCTGAAATAAATAGAGATGGGGGAGGCAGTGATAGAAGGTGGATAGTGGAGCAGATAGATGGAGAGAAGACAGACAGGTCAAGGAGGCGGGGATGAAGCTAGTGAAGGTGAGTGTAGGTAGAGAGTTGGGATGGGGGTTGATCAGTGAGGAGGGAGGGGTGGGTAGGTGGGACGGAAGACGGATAGGTCAAGGAGGTGGGGATGAAGCTAGTAGAGGTGAGTGTAGATAGGAAATGGGGGTGGGGATGGGTCAGTGAGGTGGGAAGAGCGGACAGTTGGGAGAGAAGACGGACAGGTCAGGGATGCGGGGACGAGAGGGAGGGCTGGTCTTGGGATGAGGTTGGGGGTGGTCCACATTGAGACCATTGGGTTATAGGGTTCCAAGGCGGAATATGAGGTGCTGTTCCTCCAGTTTTCAGGTGGCATCGTTGTGACACTGGAGGAGGCCCAGGATGGACATGTCGTCCAGGGATTGGGAGGGGGAGTTGAAGTGGTTTGTGACTGGGAGGTGTTGTCATTTGTCACGAACCGAACGTAGGTGTTCCACAAAGCGGTCTCCGAGCCTCCGCTTAGGCTCCCTGATGTAGAGGAGGCCACATCGGAAACAGCAGACACAATAGACCACTTTAGCAGATGTGCAGGTGAACATCTATTTAATGTAGAAGGTTTTCTCAGGGCCTGGTTTGGAGGTGATGGGGGAGGTGTAGGGGCAGGTGTAGCACCTCCTGCGGTTGCAGGGAAAGGTACTGGGGGTGGTGGGGCTAGTGGGGAGTGTGGAGCGGACGAGGGAGTCACGGAGGGAGTGGTCCCTCCGGAAGGCAGATAAGGCTGGGGAGGGAAATATATCCTTTGTAGTGGGGTCAGATTGCAGGTGGTGGAAGAACATGTTTTGCCAACTCTTGTACTCCACACCCCAGGCGATGAAGGCAAGCATGACATATGCCTTCTAAATCATCTTGGCTACCTGTGTTGCCACTTTCAGGGAACTGTGGACCTGCATGCCCAGATGCGTCTGAATGTTAATGTTCCTAAGGTTTCTGCCATTTACAATATAATTCACACCTAAATTTGATCCTCCAAAATGCATCACCTCGCATTTGTCTGGATTAAACTCCATCTGTCATTTCTGTGCCCCAGTCACCAGTCTATCTATATCCTGTTGTATCCTTTCACAATCATTGGCAGGATCAGCAACTCCCCCAATCTTCGGGTAATCAGCAAACTTGCTTATCCGACCACTCACATTTTCCT